GTAACAATTATATTACACGTTAACAATTATCTCTCTCTTTAGCTCTTTAATTTTATATTTTTAAATAAAGAAATGAGAAAGGTTTCCCAAAAATTCTAGCATATGTAAATGTCAAATGTATTGTTTTCTATCTCGACATAAATCAAATCTGCCAATTTCGACGCAACCATCTATGCGACATAATGGAGCACCGAACAAAGCGAAACGCTTCCCGATGCCTGCAGCTATTTGCCAAAAAAAAAAAAAAAAAAAAACCTCAGTATCGGATAACCGGACCGGAGTTAAAACAGTCTGAATTGAGTTCCGTCCTGTTAGAATCCTGCACATTGCAAGGCAGCTTGCAAATTGTGCTGAAATCGCGAGTCGCGGAAATTTCCATCGGTATGATTGAGTGACATCTGCCAGAGTTTTTCAATTTCGATACATCCGCGAAAATCGAAACGGAAAATCGTAGAGTTGAACTAAACAGATTACATCAACGAAGAAGAGAAGAGCAGAGGAAGAGAGCAGATGAAGGATCGTCGAAGATCGTAGCACAGTGGGAGACACGTGTCCCGACATTCACGGCGAAAAAAAGTCTGAATCGGAAAACTCGGCCGCTGTTTCGGATTTCTCAGTGCCTCGTTTTACAAGACCACCCTTCTCGAATGTATTCTTCGAAAAACCGACTCCGGCACATACTTTCCCGAGACAGTTTCGACAGTAACATGCATATATGTATTCCGAGCACGTGTTGACCCTATTGTCAGATTGATTTTTATCACTTCCGTTCATTATTGGACGCAACCAAAATTCCGGTTATACTGTTCCGTGATATAAATTAGAAATAATGAAAGATATTATTGCCATACACAATATTCGCGTGCTAAGAATTGGAGCATCGTCAATTCCGTAAACAAATAACAACATAAAATAAAGATAACATTCTTCAACAATAGGATAATTTTCTAAACATAATAAACATTTATCGTTCTTTCGTTACTAAGCCTCCCGTCGACATCGAGATTGGGCTCCTTCACATCTATATATATTGATTCGCGAGAGCGTCGCCGCGACGATGAGAAAAAGAGCTTCGCGGTTACGCAAGCCGCCGCGTCGGATTAACAATTTCGACACGCAACGATGCACCTGTATAGCGATTTTCGTGACGTCGCGGCAATTTGGCGTGTTTAGCGAACGACTTGACGAGTCATTAAACAGAGAACACTGGCAATTAATTATCACGTTTGCGTAATCGCCGCTCGGCGGCGGCGGCGGAGGTGTGGTTGCGCAACTATCGCTCATTCTGCTCTGCTCTACTCTCTCCTATACCAGCTAATCCACCTCCTCGAAATCCGTGATCCTGTCGACCTTTTCGTGCCTCTCATCCCTTCTACACGGTACCAATATATTCGTGACTCTGGCCACGCGTGATAATTTTAATCTTGAAAATACGCTATTGCACGATGACTGCGAGATTGCAAAAGAAATCAAATTATTAAAAAAGATTAATAAATCTAATTTTTACTAGCACTTATTTTAAACTTATTTTTATTAAAGTTAAGAATGTTGTGCCATTAGTTCGTAATTTTTTTAGCATTCATAAACTGAGCAAGTTCGATGCAAATTTCGTGCCTTTTTTTGTGCTAATAATATAAATCTTCATTAGGATCAGTTTTGACTCTTATACAACGGAGACGATACCAAACAAGTATCCTGATAAATATTCAGAACAACCGGGCGAGGATAACAATTCCAAGAATTTTGATTAAATCTCCGAAGGCTAAATCTGTCTCACGTTTTTCGTGTTTTTTACGGAGTAAAAACGGAGTCTTTTACGTAGCTTAAGCAAACAGATCATAGGATTCAATACAAATACCAATCGCTCTTTTGTTCCGGATGAGCGGCTTACATATTTACGAGATCAACACAATGGATGGCAGATAGAGTTCGTGTGGGCAAAGGAAAAGGGGAAAAAAGTATGAAAGTGAGACGAAAAGAAAAAAAAAATTCGTCGTGGTTCTCTCGGAGGTGTCAAGGGGCGAATGGCATGATACGAGAGCGGTCACAAGGAAGGATGGTCAGCGGAATCCAAGCATTCTCTATAGGAGGCATGTACAGCGAGAGAGACAAGGGACCAATACGTATTATAAATCAAGTAGAGGCCCGTCGGCAAAGGAAATGTCGGTGGCAAAGAACGAGGGAAAAAGACGCTCGGCGGGGGCGGAGGCGGTGGGGAGGAGGGGGATAAAGGGAGGAAGAAAGAAGGATAGAACCGTGGCCGGTGTGCGGACCGGGAGTGTGTGCGGTCACGATCGTACATCACCGCCGGTATTTACGAGGTACCACCGTAAATCAATGATCGCGCGATTCAACGAAATTCCTCTCTCCCCTTCCTGCTTGTATGCTCGGCTTCCTTTTCGCTTCCTGTACGCGAAAGAACCCGTCCGTTCGCCGAGTCTCGCTCGCGATACGTCGTGTTCCGCCAGTGGGATCGATGACGCCGGAATCTCGCGAGAAAGCTGCCTTGCAATAAGAAATGTCGGAGATCTCAGTCGAATCCTCATTCGGATACATACGAGATGCTTCGCAGTATCTATAGCATATTCTTTAATGGACGTGGAGCAAATATATTCTTCGCGTTCTTCGATTCAATTATAAAGTAAGTACACATTGCATTGTCGACTCGGCTAGACGTATATTTTATCTTCGGAGTTCTATAACCCTGACTATACATATGCGCAACTTACTCTTTAAGTATGTCCGATTCCTGTACACAACTTTTTAATTTTCTATTAACTCTATTACCGCGCCTACTTTATGTTCGACCGTATGGAAAGTAGTGCAAAAAACTATGCGAAAGAAGTTCGCACGGGTACCTCGAGCATCACTACAGAGAAAGAATGACCGCGCGTGATCCGCACCGATTCATCCCAAAGAGATAGGATGGACGGACCGAGGAGAGGAAAGCCGAGCCAGTCGGTCGGTCGGACCCGTTTAAGGCCGCGCATTGTTTGTTCGGGCCCTTTAAACGTCGTTTAAAGCGTGACTCCCGTCAGCCCGGAAAGGATCGTTTTAACGAGGAGGCTTTGGGACAGACCAGGTCAGATCTCCTACGCTTTACGGTTACGCCACGAGGCGTTGCCCTTTCTCGCCGTTTCTCGTAGGACTCCCAAGAATCAGCCGCCCTTCTCGTCGCACAAAGGAAAAAGGTTGCCGCTTCTCGCAGCTGATCCCTTAAATCATATTACGCGATCGTCGAGGATAAATCTGTCTACCAATCACGCCTCTTCCTTTCTCGCAAGGAAAATCGCTTGCTCCAATTTTCGTACGTGCGGGACGCGACGCCTTTTAACGCGATTTCAAGTATCAGAGAGGTTAACTTAAACGGATAAATATGTATTTTAACAAGTCGCCGAATCTCTCAGGTATTAAGTCTTTGTTATTTAGTTTCGTTAATGCAATTTTATTTTATTCAAAATAGTAACATTATAGAATTTTTGAATTTTTATAAAAATGTTTCAATTAAATTTGTATTTTCTCTTTTATTTTTACTATAAGGAGTGTTAAGGAGTGTTATTATCTACACATCAATACCTTTTGTATGTAAAGAATATTAATGCCACGCGACTTTGAGTGAACGTATCATTGAGTATCGTATCCCAGATTTTACAAAAAAAAAGCTGTAAAGAATATAAATAAGCGCATAAAGATAGCCGGAAAACAAGAATCATCATAGCGACGAAAGATGAAAGCAATTTCCGACCGATGTTTCAAAGGAGCCGTAAAAGTACAATGAGGACTAAGGGAAAAAAGGTAACCTTCTATGCTTTCCACGAGACGGGAAGACGGTCAGAGGGGGAAGGGGGGAAAAGGACGCAGTGTAAAGTCGAAAATCCCTGACTCCCAAAAGTCGTATTTTTTTTTACACGATCGGATTACAAAGAGTCGAAAGGGCTTCGAATGTCCTCGTGGCCCTTCTCGAGATCTGTCCGAACAGCTGACTGAATCTAAACTTAGATGACGGAGCGCGCGCTTTCGAAGCGCTGCGTGCTATTTTCGAGGCGCCGCGTGCACAAGCGTGAAATGAAACAAATAACACGTCACTTCCGCTCGGAGCGTTCCGCGTTTTGATTGCCTCCGAGAACTTTCAATGTTGTAATTTTTCACCGCGCAATTAGCACTCCACTTTCTGCTTTTATAATATAATTGACGCCGAGATTTTCAAAAATCCGAAAAATCGCCGTTAAATCCTTTCATTTATTTTTGAATAAATTAAAGTGAAATAATGTTTCATATTACCGATTCAGTTTCATTCACGTGCAATTCGCTGTTTAAATTTCTATAAATCAATTTTTGAGAAACACTAATTACATTGGTCTCGCGTTTCGCTAGACGTATATCGCACCCGATGGTACGTTTAAACTGAACGTAGTTTAATTCCATTAGCGAAACGAAGGCTATACGTGCGTTTTAATTTCAAGCCGATGCCTCGAGCTGTCGGTCGACTCTATTTAAGCCGACGAATTAAAAGCGCTCGCTAATGTGACCTGCTTGAGAATTAATTTTGTAAGTTCGAGCCATTTTCGTGAGGCAGAAGAAATAAGGTCGTGATGGCATCGCAAAGGCGTCATGGAATTTTTTTGTTCCAAGAAATCGACGCCACGTTTCGGGCACATGTGTGTTGCGCAAGCATCAGGCCAGTGATTATCGATTTGATTGTGAATCACCGCTGGAGTTATTAACATTACAAGACAATAAAAAAAAATTGAAAATATTGCCGGAAAATTTTTAATAAAAAATTTTAAGAAATTATAAAGTTTTCTTTACTTGAAGACAAATTAATAATTCTATACGAATAATCTGAATAAATGTTTTCTCGTTTGATGAAGCTTGTTATTGCATCATATTAATCGCTGCTCGTTCGTAATGCAACAGCGTTAGAATCATCGGTTACTCCAGTTCAAGGTAAATCGAGAACCACTGATCACTGATCACTGATAATAGCGTCGAGAACTCACCTGATATAAATGATGACCCCGTTGGTGCATATCCTTTTCCATCCACGTGGCACGGTGATCGCCGACAGTTGTTGCTGCTGCTGTTGTTGGTGTTGTTGTTGCTGCTGCTGCTGCGTAATCACTGCACTGCCGTTCATTGTCAACACCACTGCGTTATGCTGTACACCATTATTGTTACTACCATTGACACGCGACGACGGCTGCTGCCGCGCAGCCTGCTGCGCGCACGCACTACCACCGCCGGGATGATTATTACTTGCCAGCATGCCACCGTCGTGCTGTCCCGGCTGATGACTCTGACTCTCGTCAGGGCTACTGAGGCTGCTGTAGGTCGTCGTCGATGACTCGTCAGACCTCACCGAATCGCAGCCGCCGGTCGCAACACCACTACCGACACCAACACTACCGTCACTACCAACACTCACCACCGTCGACGCCGAAGAGGCAGCCTGCTGATTATCGAAACTGTCTTGCTGCCGGCTCTTGTCATCCGCGCTCGTTGCCGCCTGTTGCTCACCGGCGACGTTCTGAAGCGCGATACCGTTACTATCACCGACGGACGTCGATGTACCGTACGCGACACAGTCGTCGTCACCACTGAGAAGACCGACATCGCTCGGATTCGGTCGCACGACGATTCTATTATTGTTCGCCGCAGTGTATTCACTGCCTATCCTTGCGGAGTACGCGTCACCGCCGTGCTGAAGCCGTGCGGTCTGATACGTCTTCGTGCCGGCCACCATCGGATCATTGCCGTTGCTACCGAGGCCGTTCGCCGTCGTGCGTTCTCCGTTCTCCGACGGTCGCTTGTTCTCGCGCGATGCCGCGACGCGCGTCATCATTGCCGTCGTCGTCGTCGTCGTGGCGCACACTGTCGTCGAATGCCCCAGGTTGGCCTGTCGATACAGCATCGCGTAATCCTCCTCGTCCTCATTGTTCGCCAGAGAAGGTGCATGCCTGGACTCGCTGTCATCCGTATCGCTGTTCACCACCGCTGCCGTCGTCGTCGTCGTGGTCGTTGTTTCGAGCGATGGCTTCAGACGGCAACAGCCGATCGCGGGGGTGGTGGTGGTGGCGTTGTTCCCTACGTTGACCCCGCCGCTGCTATCGTCGGCGCAATATACGGCGGTTTTGGCGGGAAAGGTAGTCGTAACCGCCTGCGCCGTCGCCACCTGCGGAGCCTGCAAGATACCGGCGTACTGCGTCGTCGTTTGCTGCTGCTGCTGCTGCTGCGGCTGCGACTGATAACCGACCGCGATAGCGGCAGCAGCGGTCGCGGCGACATTCTGACCCACCGCCGTGGCGTACGCAAAGTTCTCCCCCGATACGTACACCAGAACGCTGTTCTGCTGTATAGCTTGGGGCTGCTGTTGCTGTTGATGCTGCTGCTGTTGCGGTGGCTGCGTCTGTTGCTGCTGCACTTGCTGCTGATGATGATGATGCTGCTGCTGATGCTGATGGCCGTGACTCGGGGGAGCAGGGAGCGTGGACGGCTGCTCAGGCTTGCCGGCCATGGTCCAGGTCCAGCAGCGCGGCGGATGACCCTGACGACACCCACGACATCACTGGCACGACGTGGCACGTAGCTCGCCTACGTGGGGACACCGGCGGCGGGTACTGCCGCATCCTCCGCGAGCCGGGTCACGATTCCTCACGCGCTCGACAATGACGGCGAACCTCCTGGTCCTCGGGTGGTCGCGCTCTCGCCGATGCCGTTGTTCCACGTACCCTTGCGTCTCTCCGCGCGGCACCCGTAGCACGACATAATATATGTCAATCGCGCCAGATTGTTCGCGAGACGAACGAATCGCGCGGCTCGGACACGAACATGGGATACTCCGGGAGGGACGAAACTCCTACGTCGCGCGTCGTACTCCAAACCGGCGCGTGTTTGGCGCGCGTAGTACACGCCGTCGTTGCTCGCCGCCGGTCAATGGCCGTCTAACCTCCTTGACGCGGCGGGGATCGCCGGGCATGGCGCGGGACGCGCCGGCGATGTGTTTTCTCCCGCGAGAACCGGCGCGGCGACGATATCGGTCGTTGGGCTCCCCGCTCGCTCCTCGCTGCTACCCTTCCACAGTTGACTCCGTCTTCCTTCTCCGCCGTCTCCTCTTGCTCCTTTCCTGAGGATTAGATGCACGCTCGTCAAAATGTCGCGGCTCGTGACATGTCGCACGCGAACGCGATCAGAATTCGAAACGTCACCGTCACCGAGTGCCGGCCCCAGCCGGCCGGTTTTTTCTCCGCTTTGTGCTCCGCTTTACTTTCTCTCTTTCTCCCTCTTTCCTCCTTTCAGAAGTCCCCGTCCCGCGGCACGGTGACGTTCCACGCCGATTGCTTTTGCCGCGCGAGCGAGCGTTGCACACGTCGCGAGTCGTTACGTAGCATGATCGTGCGCGAGACGGCGGCAACGGCGGTGGCAGCGACGACAGTGGCGTCGAGCAAGGTCGCGACTGCCGCTAACTTCACTCGAAACTCTCATAGCCGGCGGCCCGACGCGCGTAGGCGAGCCGCTTGTTTATCGGCGGGGAATTACGTCTTCGAATGAAACGAGCGGACGAGAGAAAGAGAGAGAGAAAGAGAGAGAGAGAGAGAGAGAGAGAGAGAGAGCCTACGTACGCGCGCAAGGTCTCTCGCTCGAGCGCGACTCAAGGTGACGGCCCGTAGTTGCCGGCCACCCGTTTGCGGCCCCCGCCGCGAAGCGAAGCGAAGCGACGCGACGTAAAATCGACGAGCGAGAATTTCCCACGCGCGCGATGCCGCGACAACCGCGCGCGACCGAACTGCGTCGCGACTTAATTCAGGACGTACGAACGATTCGAAACGCGCCACTCCACTACTCCGCACCACTCTTGACTCTCTTACCGGAGAGAGTCTCTCTCGAACGCACCCGGCGAGACGTGTGTGTCAACGCCACGGTCCCGGGGACTCACGTTTTACTCACAGCCACTACTACTACTACTACTACACGTTACTCCGTCCTCCACGATCGAGTCGCGTTCCGCACTCCGAACGAACGCACCGAAGACGCGCACTCAATTATGTCATTACGCGAACGGCACACTCTGCTTTGGGTGTATATATATATATATTTATATATATATATATATCGCCGAAAGCGAGAGGGGAAGAAAAAAAACCCTCGCACGGTCACGCAACAACGATCGCGATCCCGACGAACGCGAGGATCCACGACAACACGGCCGAACGACGTGCCATCTCCCTCGACACTGACTGCGTACGCGCGAGTTTAATCGCAGTCGCCGGGAGTCGGAGCGCTCGGCTCGAGTCGCCTCAAGTCGGCGCTCGATCGGTAATATGGCGCGAACGCGCGCGCCGTACAAAAAACACTTTACGCCGCTGGCGTAACGATTCGGGTGTAAATCGCGCACGGACGGACGAACGTCGTGTTATGACGCTGTGTCATCGTCACAGCAGCAGCAGCAGCAGCAGCAGCAGCGAGTATCACGACCACCACCACCACCAGCACTCTTCCACCACCATCATCACCATTTCCACTGGCTCGTACCACCACCACCACCACTATCAGGCGCGACGCGCGACTACTACTACTACTTCCTATTACTACCACCACCACCACCACTGCGAGCGCGGTTACGAACTCGGGTTAAGTTAACTAACCCTCTCGCCGCGCCGTGCCGAACACCTGCGCGGTCCGCGCTACTCCGTTTCTCACGGGGGCCTCCACACCTCCCCGCTCGAGCGCTCGCTCGCGCGCTCTCTCTCTCTCTCGCCCGGTTATTATTATATTATTTTCGTGACGAGCGCGATGGTAGCGGCGGGGACGCGGGCGACGGATTCGCGCGTCGGATCGCGTACGCCGTCCTGCGTCCTTTAACGCGCCCGACTCACTCACCGCCGGCCGACACGGACGTCGCGCGGCACCGCCGTTCGGAATGCCGTGCCCGCCAGATGCTCTGCCCGTGCGCTACGCTCTTTTCGCGTAACTGATAGTGAAAAAATATGGCTCCCACCGCATACCCAGAAACCTCTGCGGCATCCCGACGGCTGGCTGGCTGGCTCACTGCCTCTCGCCTCTCGCTCACGGCTCGGGCCACTCGCACGTCACTAAGCACGTCGCTAAAAACATCGACCCACACGACGCGAGGCCGCGGTCGCGACGGTGCCGCTATCCATCGGACGGGACAAGCGTTAATTTCGCGGTCGTCCCCGCGGGCTTACAGATCCGCGATCACGTATTCGCATGTGTTCTTCCTCTCATCCTCCTCCCCCCCCCCAATGCTCCCACTCCTCTTCAATCCCTCGGTACAATGGCAATGATTCTTTCTCTTTCATGTGAAACGATTCAATCCGTCATTCACTGACGGATCACAAACGAAGTAATGAGCGATTCATGAATAGACATTTCGCAAATCCATTTGCAACGAATCTTAACGTAACATAAATCAATTACGAATTGGCGAATAATTGGAGGTTCATCGAATGATTAATTGCATAAATATCGAGCCAACATACAAAAAAAACATAAATTCTGCACTTTAATTGCGTTTGTGTAAAAGCACTTTTTAATTCTATTTTTATAATTTGATTTTTATCACTTAAAAAAACAAAAATCTGCAGAATCTTCTCTCATATTTATGGAACTAAAAATTAATTTTGATGTTACCTATTTCTAAAGCAAAAATTAAAGAGACAAACTTAAGCAATAATGAGAGAACTATCTTCTGCAAATTAAAATTAATATATTATTACATCATTAGCAATTAATCTGCGCGTTTACTTACGACAAATTAGTTTAAGAAACATTAAGAGAAAATTACATGAAACAAGTGTTTCCAGCGATTAAATTATCGAGAGTTAATTAAATTATTAATTAGCGAGAGGAATTTCAGGTCCGATTTTGCAAGGGCGTAAAATCGATAATCCCATTGTACAGTTCCAAATTTATTTGAGACGCTCAAGAAAAGTATCTAATCAATCACCAATTTTTTCTATAATAAATAAGATTACAAGACATATGTGGCTATTTATTAAAATTCGCTATAGTAACTGCGGACGAGTACACGACCATGTATACAGTAAATTATGTGAATGTGTATTGAAAGTATATTAATTTAATATAGTACAACAGGATCTATGAATTATCTAGAATTCTAGAGCATTTGTTCATGCGCGTTGAGATGAAGAGACGGTGAAAATGATCGAATAAACTTTTAGAAATATATCTATTATGAAAAGATTATTTTTTCTTTTTGTTTTACACAAGTTTTCCATTAGGGAAAATTACTAAATTACAACCATTGATTTTACTAAAAATATGTAATAAAATCTCAGCGTTGGCGAATGTAAAGAAAAAAGGAAATTTGTTAGATCCGACACAGTATAATTGCACAAAGCTGCTTATAAATACGCGCAATCGTCCACACACACAGGAACCTGATTCCCCATTTTATTTGCATTAAATGCAAACAAAATTGTATGTTCGTTATCATCGTCACACGCCAGTATACAAAAGCGACTGGAAAAAAAATTAAATACTACGAATATGGAATAATGTCCCACTTTGAAAAGTTTCTTCGAGATCTCTACTACGATTGATAACGTTACATTAAGGCTTTAACCAAGCGTAGTTTATACCGTTTCCACACCGATCGACACATCCCGATATTATTATTTCAAGTTCTAGAAAACTGTAAAAGATAACAATTTTCAGACTTTAAGGTTTGGAGTAAACAAGTTTGCTGCTATTGATATCTGGAGGAAGTAATCGTGTATACGGATAATCCATAAAATTGAACTAAATAGAGATATACGAAATTTAACTCTATATTTAGCCATGAAGTAGTTACTGTCGAGCTGCTAGCAGGTTATCGGAGCGATATAATTGGTCAAACAGCAGAGACAATCGCGATGTTTGAGGATACATGATGCTTTTCATTGTGCTGTAACAACTGGCGTCGGAATTTTACATCTAAATAAATTTAAACTTCCTTATCATTATACAATGATAAGTACATACCTTTAATAATCCTCTATTGAAAGAAATAACATGGATACATAGACACATAAGTGTTCAATAAGCAAAAATAAAATTTTGAAGCATCTTATCGAGAGAGAAGCATCTCGATGAGAAACATCCCGATAAAATACATCTCGCAATAAGATGCAGCTTTAGATGCTTCATCATAATAGATATATACTTTACAACCAAGATATATCTTATTAGCCGGTGATAATGATTCTTTACTCTCAAAGTCGCATAAGAATTTCGCGTAAGATTCATAAAATTAAAGAAACAATAATTGCAGTACTCACTGATTTTTGCGTGTGTCCAAACAAAGTTGAATTATTTCAACATCTTTTTCACTCATTGAATAGTTTCGCCTGTATATCCATGTGTGTTGTTTCTTTCTTTAGCATGATACAGAATCGAGCGAATGGGACAGAGAGTTTGAAATTAAAGAAACGGCTATGTTTATTACAGGGTTAGTGTAATCAAATTAATGTGTGGCACATTGGACTCGGGATGGACCACCTTCGTCCTCTTCGTACGCTTGTCTCGTATCTCTCCGCCTTTGCTCCTGCTCGGGATCTAAGTCAGTAAGTAAGCACTCCTCGGCACCGTCTGGAATTATAACCTCTTCCCTCGGCGGTAAACATTGCTCCAATGATGGAATAACCGATGGCTCTATACTCTTCGGGAAATTGACTATAAATTGTATTATAAGCCTGCCATGTGTAAATGGATCCTTGTAAATCGGCATGCCCTCGTTCAAGATGCATTTCAAGTCACCGTGCTTCGTCACAGTGCCGGGAAGTGAGGTTATCACTAGATCTCTACCATCCAAGGTGCGGATAACTTTCTGGAATCCGCATAATGCCTCTACGAGTTCTAGTTGCATTCGCATAATCAGATCGTTCCTCGAACGCCTGCAATTGCATTGACCATACTGGTTAAAATATAGTTACAATGACAAACCAATAAATATTCCTAATTGAAATATTACTAACTTGAACACGTCATGATCTTTTTCTTCGAGAAGAATAACTATATCGCCAGGTTCCAAGTCTGGTTCCTGATCACCTTCGCCACTGAAAGTGATCTTCTGGCCATCGACCATACCCGGATCAACGTGGACCTCAAGTATCTTTCTATCTCTAACCGTCTTTTTTCCGTTGCAGTACTTGCAACGATCACGGGGATTGATACGTTCTCCCTGCCCTTTGCAATCCGCACACATGGTCTGTAAATGTTGTAACATTCCCGGACCTAGTTGCTGGATTTGTACTTGCAAACCGGAGCCATGACACGTTGAACACTGTTCAACAGAACCCTTCTTTCCACCGACACCTAATCAAAGAATATCACAGAGATCATTTCCTCCGCAGATACACAAGATACATGTGTATATAATTTTTTTATTGGAATAACAATTTTTATAAAAACGTTACCTTCGCATTTCTCGCAGATAATATTTTTCTGCAAAGCGAGTTTACGCACAGTTCCCTTGTAAAGTTCCTCCAGGGACACTGATAATTGATGCATTACATCATGACCTCTGCGTTCTCTCCTCATCCTACCTCGGCCGCCACCAAATCCTCCACCAAAGAACATATCAAAGATATCCATTGGAGACGAGAAGCTACTACCACCCATACCACCTTCTTTCAAAGCTTGCTCGCCACCTTGATCATAGATACGCTTCTTCTCAGGATTCGACAGTACTTCGTACGCTTGAGAAATTTGCTTAAACTGAAACACAGGACATTTTGTAACATTAAATTATATTAGATTTTGACCGTGCGTACGCTATAATCGATAGATATATTAAATTTTAAGATCCAAGTACAAACCTTTTCTCCTTCATTAGGATTCTTGTCAGGGTGATATTTCAGAGCAAGCTTTCTATAGGCCTTCTTCAAATCTTCCTGCGAGCATCCAGGCTTCACGCCCAACACATCATAAAATGTAGTCTCTTTAACCATCTTTAGTGTGTTAAGTAGTTCGTATTATACTAAAACCACTCTTGTTGCTAAAAATAAAAAAAAGATACTACAATGAATTCCTTAATTTTTGACAGCGCTATTGAGTTAACATAATGATAAGCAATAAATGCTTAAAATACAAGCTTCATATTTTTTTTTTAATTATGCACATATATAATGAATTGTCAAAATGTCAGACGCATTTAATTATCTACCGATAAAATGACATCAGAAAATTAAAGGAACTATATAGACTCCATTCGTTATATTGATAAAGAAAACAGCCCGTGATGTTGCAACATACGTACGCGCGCGTGACCGAAAAGGCAAAGTTTAGCCAAGTTTAGCTCGTAATTAATTCATAAACTCTAAACTCGAGGAATGCATCACTTCTCTATAGCGTTGCATAACTGAATCTCTAGACTCATAAATTAAAATATGGTCAGATACGATTGGAGGACAGTGAGCACATAACGCGATCATGTAACTCGCGAGTCATTTTTATGAATATTTAAATTTGAAGATGTTCAAAGCTATTATGTAAGGTACAATAACAAAAGCACTTGGCACGAGGTGGCCCTGTGTGAACTTCCAGCCTGACGACCTTGAGTTTCAAATTTAATTTGTTCCTTAACAGCGACAACAATACCGAAAACGGGGAGAAGTATTATTGGAGCATAAACGCCCATTTCTTTCTCTCTTTCTGAAATTTTTATCGCACGATTGATCTCAAGCTTCGCAACTCGCAGAGAGGGACAGAGGAAGTCTAGCGTTCGCCCGTGTGAATTTGAAGAACGTAACCACCCATGCGGGATTTATGTGAGTTTCAAAATGGCGTGTGCTGGCAGTGCTGGGAGTATGTAATTGAGTAGATCAGCGAGTGGAGTGTTTTGAAAGGCGAGGCGCGTGTCGCGGACGCTTCGCGAACAAAGACCGTCCTCTGGGAGCTTTCTAGAATCTTCCGATACACCGCGAGCACGCGGTTCCCGAACCGGAACGACAGAATCGGTAGCGCGACCGTAAAAAAAAAAAAAAAAATTAAAAAAAAAGCGTTTGCCAGAATCGCTCGTAGCGAATTTTCTACGTCTTACGCGAGCGTTTACCGCTGTCGCGAGAAGAAAACGCGTTTTTCCCCCCGTGATTAGCGAGTTGACTCTTTTATTCCATTCTTTCTCCCTCTCCCGCACTTAGCCTCCAACACCTCGGTGCGATCGTTAATCGGCATCGAGTCGAGCAAGCGTGCACGCAGATCCGGTAGCCAGGTTACTCTCGGCTTCCACCATCTTTCTTTCCGAGCTCGCTGTCGCAACGCGAGCACTCGGCTGGCGATCAGCTCGACTCCCCGCTTCGTAACGTCCATCAATGTGCAATCGTGCGAAATATATCATCGCGCAACCTTCGACCGTCCGCCGAGGCGTCCCCTCCCCCCCTCCGACCCCCGGCCATCGCGCTAAAACTTGGGTAACCGTTACGCGGACCTAGACGGACGAGAGACGGAATCCGGACGTGGACAGGCGGCTTCGGGGGGGAAGTTCTAGACGTTCTATATGCCTCGTGCGAGCACGCTGATCGCCGCGTACTGCGTTTCTCGGGAGGAGAGAAAAGAAATCGCGGGCGGACCACCGATCGATCGATCGCGCGACTCCGGGCGCCCGTTGTTCCGACCCGACCCCGCTCGAACCCATCGGATCGACGTGCGGATCGTTTCCCCCGTCGTTGAGGTGTTCCGCGCGATCCCGACGACGGCCACTTACCTGCGTAAAACGGCGAGGCGAGTGTCGCTCGTGAAGGATGACCGCGCACGTTTCGCACGACGCCCGTCACGTCCCCGTGTCCGCGCCACAACGTTTCACGTACAGAACTGAGCCGTGCGCCCACGTCGCCTGACTGGTCTGGCCCGAGCTATTGCCGCCCGTGGTACGTTCTCGAAACTTCCTAGAGAACGGCGGTGGTCAAAACGCAACGTCGTCGGGCCGACGGCCGAGCGCCAATCAGCTGCCGACGTTGGCGGAAGCGCTACGCGCACGGCGTCGGTCTCTTTCGGAAGTTCCAAGCTCGCAGTCTCGCGTCCGCCGATCATGCAGACTCACGGTCGACATTAGACGACAATATTTATGGATTACGACTCTCCAGCTCTTTAAAAAAAAGATGTGAAATAAAATCAAAGCCGTGTTTTTCTGGTTTTTTTTTATATAAGATGTTTGGTATACCTATTTTAAGAAATTAATTTTTAAAAGATATTCTATCGAACTATATATGATAAGGCCGATAAGGCACACGTGTGTGAAGTATCGCATGCTACCGAATCATTGCCTTTTTTTCGATAATAAAATGCTTTTCCTATAATACATATTTATCGTCGAATTTTGGCTGGAATTTTTTCGAACATTCCTGGAAACTGATTCGGATGCTAAATTTGAAGCGATTTAATATTGTAAATTGTTTAAACATAATAAAATCTTGAAAATTAGATATAGGATTTTTAATCAGTTTTCATAGATAATGCTGATTGTAAACGCAAATAATAAAAATTTTTTTAATGTAAAATACACGTGGATATGTCGACGCCGCTGTGCGATCTTTCATAGATGGCGATACACGTTTCCGTGCATGTCTTTTTCTAAGTGTTACGCTAACCGATCAGAATGGTATGTAATTTGTATCGAGAAATTCCGTAGTAATCGTCCGACGAGATGTGCGACGTTCGATTAAAAATTTTACAATGACATCTAACAAAATACGCGTCGTGTATATCACGTTCGGGAAGTTTCGATTACGAATAGTAAAACTAATTGAACGCGACGTGACAACATAACCTCACATGAGAATACATGTTTGTAATTATTCGTGACGCCTTTTGCGATAATAGATCACACAATTATTGCACACAATTGTTGGCTGTGGTTTTCTGTCTCTTCATTTTTACTTCACCAACTTGCAGCTCTCTCCAGTCTATTTTGTCCCGCTTAACTTCTAATCTAATGAGTAACCTAACCCATAAATAAAAGACGCGTATTTTGATTCCTGCTTGCAGACGGAAGGTACAGCTACCATCAGAACGAGAAAGTTCATGACTAATCGGCTTCTATGCCGAAAACAAATGGTGAGTGTGAGAATCGAAAATATACTTATGACTTCTACATTTTCCATTCAAGTGATATCGACGATGATACAGATGATAATTTATACGATTTATCTTCTTGTAGGTTGTAGATGTAATCCATCCTGGTCAACCATCGGTTCGTAAGACCGAGATACGTGAGAAATTAGCCAAGATGTACAAAGTGACCCCGGATGTTGTCTTTGTGTTCGGCTTCCAAACCAACTTCGGCGGTGGCAAATCCACTGGGTTTGCGCTTATCTACGACACCTTGGACTTTGCAAAGAAATTCGAACCCAAGTATAGGCTAGCGAGGCACGGTCTCTTCGAGAAACAGAAGCAAACGAGGAAACAGCGTAAGGAGCGCAAGAACAGAATGAAGAAGGTTAGGGGTACTAAGAAGAGTAAGGTTGGAGCAGCGTCTAAAAAGGTATGCAAATTAAATGTTTCAAATATATTTCTTTTATATGAACCATATTTCTTGCTCTATTACTCGAACGTTAATGCTGTAACATTGTAAAAAAATTTATTCTCTCTCGTCTCTGAATGCTTTTCGATATAAAATATCTTGTGCATGTTTATTCTTTTTTAATCATCGGCTTTGGCTTCAATTTCTTATATCGAAATTATGACTTTAAATTATGTGTTCTATCTGAAAATTTGTTTTCATTTGATTAATTTATTAATGCACTATTATATTCAATCAGATAGTATAATATATGAATTTTCTTACATGGTACAATTAAATTCTTAATATTATTAAACAAATAACTATACCTGATAAATATTTATATATATTTTTAAAAAGTTATATTTAGAATTAAAAGAGTTTTAAAATTTGATCAGCTTAACTTTTTATATTTCTCACAATACAACAATTGTGTAATGTATGGTATCTATGAGGGAATAATAAAGTAGAAGTAAAAAATATAAAACATTTCTTACTGATAACATAATAATGTTTATGGGCAATTTAGAAATAAATTTTCCTTTGGTCCGATGTCAATCATGCATGCTATGGTGGTATACGCTTCTTATTCATCTTCTAGGGAAGGAAATAGAGAAATGATCATCATTTATACTACAGACTTCTGGAGGGGCAATATCTTGTTGCTTAATCAGGGTCAGCATGCAAATCTTTAAGTTTCATACTTTTGTTCTTTGTTAATTGTATGAGCATGCTAATAATTCTTTTATTCTTGCATAACAAAGTATATACACGATATTATATTTTTATGGTTTATTTGTTATTAATCATAATTCTAATATTTCAATAGTATTTATACGTAGTAATATAAAAAAATATATTATTTACATAATATGAAAATGTAATAATTTTATATAAGCTATTAAATTTTCATATAAGTCTTTGGTGATGTGGAGTGCTAGATTTAGAAAATGTATAGTTAGATACAAGATTTAATATTACTTACATTTGCATTTTGCTTTAATAATTTAATTCTAAGCCTACCACTACTATGCTGTTTAATATCACTGCAAAAAATTAAAATTAAACTTTTGCTATAGTAATAAATTTTTTTTTAAATAGCTATTACTAAATTAGAGCACATTCTTAAGAAAAAAAAGAGATTGAACTTATCAGTTTAATTTTTAATTAACTTTAGTTTCCTTGCTCAAAAGCTTTGGTTTCAATGAATTACAAATAGATTAACAAAGTAACAAAAAACAATTTTATTTTATTTTAAAGTTTATTCTGTGTTACATATGCATTCTACGTAAAATTGGATGTGCACGAAAAAAATGCTAATGGCTAAATAATTTTTAAAATATTTAAATGTTGAATATTCAATTTCTTAGTGCATATTTTTTTTTGTATTTAATTAATACGCTTGGGGAAAAACATGCTATGTTAATTACAGATATATGTATGTGCTATCGTACTTTTATAACAATTTACATTAGAATCTATTATGTGCATGTTAAAAAGTTGATTTTAAATTAAAAAAATAATATATTCTTTTTGAATACACACACAAAATCTTTTTTTTTTTTTCTATTACAGTAAAAGAAGCCATCTTGAAGGCCACGATCATCGACGTAAAAGTTATTATATTTTACTATGAAATGGTATAATTATAATTATAATAAATTTTACGGAATAAACGTGTACTCTTCTTGATGAAAATCAGTTTGTCACATTTTTCTTGACATCTCGTGAGAATGCCTAGTTAAAGAATTGTATTTATTTAATGCGTTATTATCCCCACAAAGAAATCAAAATTTCAGATTATCTGCATAGAACGATTAATATTCATAAAATTTAATTACTTTTTTCTACTCAATATATATTTATAATTCATATATTTTAAAATTATTTTTAATAAGATTGAACCAAGACATATATCTGAATTTTTTATTTTCTAATAATATGCAATCTGTTTTTAAAACGTTATGACTTCGGCAGATGCTGGACGAGGTTTCTTTGTGGTTCGTTTATCGACGGTCTCATTCTCTTCTACTCGCTTATTGAAGGGTAAAATTTCGGTGGACGTTACAGGTGATTCGGTAGTAGTCGTAATAGTCGTTAATTCGTCAGTGGGCGTCATGACTTCAGTAGATTCGATAGACTCAGATGTTTCAATCGACTCAACAGAAATCGGCTCATTGTCAACAGACGGTATCGGTTCGATGGAATGGATAGTAGACTCAATTGACGGAACAGTAGTTGGTTCGGTAATTGCCTCGGTAGATGTTAACATAGATTCAGTAGGTGCTGCGGCTGGTTCACTGTTCACTACAACAGATTCACTAGGAGTCAGAATTTCTTCAGTTGACGTTACAATCGGCTCTGTGGAAGTTGTAATTAATTGGGTAGTAAGTGGACTCGATTCGGTAGAAGTCACCTCGGTAGTAGGTACAGTTGATTCGGTAGAAGTTAAGACTGATTGCGTTGGAGTAACAGTCGTCTGTCTCGGAGTGGTCGTTGGAGATTGCGTAGTTCCCGGAATTTCGGTTGGTAATCTGCGAAAGTCAGGCGTCCAATCGACCCAAGAAGGTGTGGGCAGACCCGGGAACAATGGCTTCAGGTCCCACTCGTCCGAATCACTGTCCCCGTAACTGTCTGTAACTTTCCGGATGATGTACCAGTTACCAACCCGGACGCCCCAATCTCGTTTTGGATCGAATGATAGCCTAGCTATTGATATGAAAGAAAATTGATAAAATGGGAAAGTTAAATCAGTATCATCTAGAAGCCACCTGGTAGGATGCGATTGGAAGCCTTTGAAAGCTATATGCGATACTATATGCTGTAATTGTATCTTTTGCACGACATTTGCGAGTGACGCATCACGTAAGTTGACGTAAACCGTCGAAATCGCGATATGTTCAATTATGTTCCGTAGCGAAGCATAAACTGTGATTTAACATCCAGCACGAGTTTCAGGTTTACTACGCGACAAAGACTTTAAAGAGGAACGCTACGAATATGACTCCAAGTTTCATGTTATCGAACTTTGCGTACACAAATCTAAGAAGAAGCCTGGATAACCCGATACTCGACTCTGTATGTTCTTATCGATGTTCAAAATATCCTGCGGTGATAAGCTCGGGGATGGACCATCTCCGCCGAACCATTCTTGCCATTTTCCCACGATTCGATCCTTGAGCATTTTAAACCAATCTCGTACTGTTTCTCCGAATCCAGCTGACCGACCTGTTCCATCTGCGACAAGTATTTACAAAATTTTGAAAATTTATTAGATTTGTAGCAGGATTAGTCATATGCAATCGAACAGTACAGTTTCATTGTAACCATGTTAAATTCTTTTTAAATTTATATTATTTTATAAAAATTGACGTACTTCCAAGGATCTTGAACATTTAATTACAATCATTGATGTTATAAATATCAAATATATGTATACATATTTGTTTAAATATTGAACTAAATTTTCACTAAATTTAAGAAACAACTTGGATGCACTAGATTAGATTTAACATTCTCTTTGAAACTGGAAACTGCGACATTACATCCTTTTATTTTTTCTTTCGAAAGATTCGAGGCAACAATTCATTTCAAGAACTTTCATTTAAGAAACTTAAATACACTCAGCTATATAATATCCATTATTTCAATCCTGCACTTAATTTTTCTCTGTACTGCAGGATGTAATTAATTTAGCACTTATAAACAACTACAATGTACACCACCTCTGTCGAAAATCGGTGTCGGCGTAGCGAGCTGGCAGGTAAGGAGCAGCAGCAGCAGCGGCAACAAGACACCTGAGAATAGCCGCATTTTTGCAATCGGACAAACAACACCACTCTGCGTGCGGGTATTGAAGCGCGTGCGGTTTTATATGTATCCTCCGGCGGAAGTGCATAGCATGACGATCTTGTTAGTGGCACAATTTTATCAAGGAATCAAGCCTGGGCCTGCACGCGCTAATGTAAACAACATCGGCCTTGTTGTGCCCGTCCCGATTTCGATCTCTCAATCGGATGATGACCACCATCATATTCACAATATGTAACTTACAACAGAGAGAATCCGAAGCTCGCGCGGCAACAAGATGGATATAGTCACTTATTCCGCGAACCTGAGGCCACGGCATCACGCTATTGTGCTGTATGTTACGTATGAAAGCAAATTACATACGCTTATCCGCGATTACTCATGTGGGCTGGACCGACTTACCGGTCTAAAACGGGCTATCAATTGATTGTCCGTTTGCACGCTTAATTCCGCGGTTTATACGATTTTCCATTATTACGCTTGTCCTCGCTTCTAATGTTTATTAATTAGAAAGACCTGATTTTATTTAACTAAAATTGCTATTCAATATTCCTTTATTAGAGTTCTCCTAACCTTAATTATTACTTGCTCTTATTAGGGAGAACGAGAAATGACACAATATTCGGCTTGTTCTAACAGGTTCCTGCAACCTGACCTTTTAGGTCTACAGTTGATATATTGTAAAATAAGAACCTTTTTTTATAATAACCACGATGCGGTTACAAAAATTTGATCAGTTATATTACATAAATTTGAATATGTAACTTTAGATTCTGATCGGAAAACCCGAACAGTCTAGAAGCGTCCGAGATGACCCTCTAACCTTGATCAAGAAACTCATTCCCCTTGTAAAATGAAAACAGCTTTGGGAAAACATTGGCTGAAGCAAGATTTAACGAGAATCAAATGCGTCCCAATTGTCTAGAACGGGTTAGTAAATTTTGCGAGCGACTGTAAAGTCAGCAATCGAAGTGCTGCAAGCTAGTCATTGCTTATCACAAACTCTTGCTAAGGTACTTTTTGGCACAAGGACTATCGTGTGTAGGCAAATATGTAAACACGTGAAAACAGGCGGTTTTGCCGTGATGTTTGTATCGACAAGATCAAGTTGACGGGTTTTTCTAGCGCAATTTTTTCCGTTAAATCATCGCCCAATTCGCCAAATTCTTGGGTATCTAGCCCTACGCGGGGAATCATCATAATAATAAAGGTGCCGAAACAGCAGACCGAGGTAAAACGAGGTCTTAATCCTTTGTGTGCCACAGGTAAAAGTAGATAGACTAGTCCGGTTGGTTGGGAACGCTCGCATTCATCATCTTTTTTATTCATTCTTAATTCTCGATTCTTCGAATAGGTGCTATTTGGTTACACGTATTTTCATCGTCCAAGAATTTCTTATTGTGCGCATGAGTCTACTGCAAAGGGAATGGACGCTGACGCCACGCGACAGTCTGCTTAGGATCTAGTGGCGAAGTCGGAATACGCCGAGTACGTTGTACAACAGGCCAGCATACGGAATCGACCATAACCGATCGGAGTCTCTCTCTACTCAGGTAAACAATTACGTTTCTAGCAATAAATCATAAACATCTTATCGGTATGATATCGAATCGTGCCATAGATTGTAATCTGTACGCGTATTACGCATATTTTAAGAGTCCCAAGTTTCGTACGCAGATGACGATATCGCAGGCATGGGTTATGTTACGTAGAACAGCTGTATTTCGTTACATAATTTCGTGGAAATCATATTGCACGGGTACCTCGCCATGGGCGAATCTGGATACAAGCATATACGAATGATTCGTAACAAAAATCGAGATATACGTAAATTCAACAAGAATGCAGCCTTATCTCCAAACTTGGACTCGCCCTAGGTTCTTAAGTCTACACCGTCCAATCACGTAATAGTGCGCAGTGGCGGAACGGTGACCATAAAGACCCATTGCTTAATCGTATTTGACAAAAAAAGAAGTTTTTTAGAAAAATATAGAATGTTCCATAATAAGAAAATATATTTTCTCATTGTGGAACATTCGTCAATCACGAAATGCACAACACTGTCGTGGGAAACTTGAGAATATTAAAATTCACATAATTTGCCCATATCTTTGGTGAGATGCATAAGGAAGCCTGTTCACGGACGACATCCTCAAGTCCGATCGATATTCCTTAGTTTTCTCTCAATGATATCAAAGTGTAGTATGTATAGACAGAGCATTAATTGGAAATAAGAAAATGTATATATATATTTTTAATAATTCAATTTTAACAATTTTTTCAGTAATTTTTCACGAGATAATTCTAACGGATAATTTAAGGATCAATCTAATCTAGTAACGGATAGTTTAACGAATCAACGTCAACGCTAAAATAATTAATTTGCCTGTTTTTGTTAAACAATTCTGATTATTTACCGTTGTTAATAAATTAAATGGAAAGTTGATAATATTTGATTTAGATTGACATTTCTTTAAATCAATCCAGGCGGGGAACTTGAGATGGTTCTCAGCTGGTCTTGGAAACCTTAGTAAATACTGGGCTAGTTAAATTAATACATGAAGAGCTTTGTGAGATCGGATTGCACTTTTGATGAGTCATCACTAATTGACTTTCATAGCGTCCCTTTTCTATCCGAGATATCTTCTCTCAGGTCGATTTGGAAACGTTATTAGCATGTAATTGTAACAGCTGACGAGGATTTGAGACATGCCGGATATATCCACTAATTGTGTGATTCTAATTTTAATGATAAACATTTCGTTAATCGTTTTTAAAGCAATTTGGGAATCCCACTGAACTTACGAATTTTCAAAGTTGTTTACACGTCGATTTGATATTTTTAGGATATATATACATATAATGGGTATTTCAATTAAAACGCAAGATTGCGGGAGTTATCGCGCTCTTAAAAAAAAAACTTCCCATTCTACCGATCCCATTCTGTCTTACTGATGCTTTTTCCCAACATAATTTGTTAATTACGCATTGTGCTGTGTTATCTGTTAATATCGAGATGATATGTGATCGGATTAAAGGAATTTTTAGAGACTAATGACTCGTCTGACTTAGTCTTTGCAACTGGATTACATTGAAGGGCAATTCCTGATTGATTCATTATATATACACTTATTAATACACTAATTGTAAGCCCGTTTGTTTTAATTATACTGTCTACACCTTGTCTCTATCTTCTCCTTCCCTCTAAAGCTTGAATATAATTAAAATTAATTGTGTAAGGCATAAGATGAACGAAAATACGAACGAAGCGAACAATCCCAAATAGGTATCGAGGTGCCCGTCAGTCCCCATCAGGCCAATGCTGCCTGTCCAGCACTGCCACCAGCTTCGATAGTAGTCGAGTTGGGTCGGGTTGAGAGGCTCAGCAGACAAACGCGTTCCTCCTGTCCAACAAGAATAGATAGGAGAAGACACGTACGAGGAAAGGACGGTGAAGGGTCGTGTCGTGCTCCAAAAAGAGAAGGACTATCGTCGTAGCGATCGTGCCGAGTGGCGCGAGAGAAAGAGGTGTGCAGTAGGGTCTAAGAAAGACGCCGTGATTCGCCCCATTCGCCCAAGCCCAGCTGTCGGTCAGCCAGGCCAGGCCAGCCAGCAACAGTCCGCAGGCAGCTCGCAACACTGGCAAGTGGCACCAGCACCAAGCTGCAAGCAGCACTGCCAACGTGAACGCAGTCACGTCGTTTCAAAGGGGATTCAAACCAAACACGGTCTGTTTTCCCACAGATCGCACCCTGTCCCAGGATGGCCGACGATGCCGCGAACGTCCGCGCCGTCCGCGGAGACGAGAGCAATGATGCGATGACACCGATACCGCCTCCCAGTCTCGAGGATCTACCTGAATTCCCGATCCAGTGCAAGTCGGAGCCGGACTTACCAGACACGGCAGACGCCGGCTTGACCAATGCGACTGACGAGAACGACTCATTGGAGTTTGTGAGTGTGGCAATCAACGAATTTGCTTAGAATTCGCCAATCCCATTATTTACTATGTCGAAGTGCTCATGATTCAAATTCTCGAAAAAAATGTTGCATTTTTAGAGAAAAAGAAATATCGAAAATGCTATCGTCTCGTGTTAGTCACTATTTTACCGCGTTTTTCACGTTTTTGTTGGTTAGGTACGATTTGATTATCAGTAATTTATATTTTTATACGCTTGAATTTGTTATTTATTGTTATTCACTGTCACTTATTAATAAGCTGACGTTTGATACACGAGAATCTAATTGTTATGAAAATTATTAGCTTTTTGCTAGAAAATTCCCATCACTGATTTTTTGGTTATATCTCTGAATCTTGTACCGTATGATCATAATGCTAGGTTCCTTTTTACTTTAATTTATGTTTTATGTTAAGATGTAGGAAAGATAAACAAAAAATATGTCATTTAAAAATTATATATTTTCTATTACAGGATGACATTACCCCAGCACTACACATTCCGGTGTCCATACCTATGATAAAGGATCCAATCGTCTTGTTGGAGAGATGTGATAAAATTTGGGAAACATTGCAATTGATAAGGAGTACAGTACACACTGACAAGCCAACAGACGCGCTGACTGATGATTGCGATAAAAATGAAGATGAGAAGAACGAAGAGAACGAGGAAGAGAAAGCGGAATGTTCGAGTGAGGTTAAACAATCTGTATCATATGTCAGGAATCAACCTAGATTAAGAAGTGATAATACAGTGCCACTACCTTTCAAGTTTTCTGTCCAAAGGACAAGAAAGTTATATCCTTGCATTACCTGCGGTAAGCAGTACATGGAAAGACGATCCTTAAGAAAGCATTCAGAAAGAGTACATGGAGTTGTTATTCCCTTACTTATTCAACGTAGACGTTGGAAACGTGCTTTGAATAAAAAGAATTTTACTAGAGCTAGTCAAATTCCTTCAATCGACAAAGAAACTGACAATTCTGAAAAGCTTTATGATAACAGAGATTCAAGTGAAAAAAGTGCAAAGATAAAACTTACCGGTATTAAAACTATTACTTCACCGCCTATTGCAAAATTTGTCAAATGTACATTATGTCAGCTAAGAGTACTGTCTTTAAGAAAACATTTAATTAATTATCATAAAATTGGAGGTTCTTCAAGTATGATGGAACAGCTAGAATCATCATTATTAAATGAGACCAAGACATCTGGAGAGAACAAAACGGCAAAAACGAATGAAGATGGATTTCTTATAATGGACAATGATAATGATACTCGTGGACCGCCCAGAGGCAGGAAGAGAAAATATACATTGTCTTATGGTAGGAAGAAACTTAAGCTAAATAATGAACGCTATGCACATATTCAGAATCCGCCCAGTATCGTTCGTTCATACAAATGCGACATTTGCTTGGGAATGTATTCATCTCCCCATAGTCTGTACAAACACAAACGCATTCACAGACTACGTGGAGAAACTAAAGACAATTTTCATAAATTCAAATGTAGATATTTTAATTCACCATTCAACAAGAAATGTAGATTATTGCAGTCTTCCGCAAAATCAACTGATATTATTGCAAAGAATGCAAACGAAATTAATGAAAACGATACATTGCAGTTAAATAATTCTAAGCGCAAAAAATTTTTAAATAAAAACATGTCATTTTCCAATCGAGCTACTCGATATAGTGAAAGAATCAATAAAAATAACGAAACTATTTGTTTATGTGGAAGATCATTTCGAAATCCTCATACGTTGTTCATTCATAAAAAGAATTGTGAATTATATCAAATTGAAGATAATACAACACAGAGCACTAGGGCCAGCAGTGATAGAGATTCTGGTATTGGCATTAATATAACAATCAAAAAACGAAACGATTCCTATGAGATAGTTGGCAAAGATGATGAAGACAAATCCCAAAGATCTGAAACTCATCTTAAAGAAGACACTATGTCTCACACATCTAATAACACCAAAGATTTTACTAAGGCATCTAAGCAGCAAATATTAGATATATTTGAATCATCTAAATACAGTAAAAATCATAGCATTCTGAAATTACAAGATATAGACGAGGATGTGATCATCGATATTGAAGATGATGTACAAACCGCTTCTAATGAAAATGATAGAACGAAGCAGATGATTACACAAAGAGATGGCAAACGGCAAAATGATGATACAACAGATGGAAAAGTTCTCGGTAAAGTCGTTCCATTGACTCAAATGTGTCAAGACGTTCTCGATGTTCTTCAGATACGTAAATCTGGGAACATAGAAGATAGGAATAAAAAATATAAAAAACAAGATAAAATTAAAGATCAAGAAACGTACAAGGAAAATAACCAGATTGGAAACCAAGAAATACGTCAAGAAAACAAGCGGCAATTACGATCTGCAAATAAACGACGTCTGTATTCCAAAGTGGAGTTGGATCGCTCTTATGATGGAACGAAAGTCTGTGCGATGCCGTTTAATTCATTGATGTGCGGATTTTGTAAAGAACAGTTTAGCACGATAAAGTCATTTGATAATCACCAGTGTACTGTTAAAGAAGGTAAATCATATAATGAATTTTCATTACATTTGCCATGTTTCTGTTGTAAAGAGATACTGAATAATTATAACGAATTTGATGACCATGTGAAAACCAAACATTTTGATTGTGCGTATCATTGTTATAAATGTGGCGAACGATTCATAACCGAAAAAGTACGAAATAACCATTTGCATACGGAACACAACGATTTGGTTTGTAAATCTTGCAATAGGAAGACTCCAGCTTCGACGAAGGCTTATCACGAAGCTTATCATTTAGGCTATGGTTTTCCCTGCCATAAATGTAAAAAGGCTTATTCAAGTAATAAGAATCTCTCTTACCATAAATACACAATACATTTTAACGGTGCTGATAACTTAGTGAGTTGTAATATATGCTTGAAACTTGTGAAACTTAAAACTTATCGTGGTCATACGGCTGGACATAAGCATAATGTGTGCTATTTTTGTGGCAAGGTATTTTCTGACAGAGTAGGTTTAGAATACCACACTATGATGCATCATGGCACAAATTCCAAGTTAAAATGTAATATCTGTGGTACGCGCTTTTATAATAAGAAACAACTTGAGAGACACGAAAAGATTGACGGATGTACTAACAGCGTGCAGAGAACGAAAAAGGTAGCTGCAACGCAACGTGCTAAAAATCGTTAAGACTATCTTTAGCCTCAGAAAAATATTATATATGGATGAAAGAAATTGAAGAAGTTGATGTCAAGCATAATTAACTCTTGCATGTCGAATTATTTTTAATTTACTTTACGACAGAAAATGCATTTGTACGTTAATATATTATTTTCAATATGTAATCAAATTTCTTATTTTATTACATACATGTAAATTAGCGAAGATTCATGTTTATTGCGTTATCATTTATTATATATCTAAAACATGGGTGACAATTTTTGAAAGCGCCTGACATTTCATTGTTCGTTCTGTTAATTATACAATAGAATTGCTGAACAATAGATATTTTACTGCACTTAGACTGTAGAATAAGCTAATATCTTATGAACTCTGCAAACTTTACGTAGGTATTTTTATTTCAATGGATAAATTAGTAATACATTTTTACGTAAACCATACGTCAATTGTAATTTCATGTGACATTAGGATAACACAAATTAAACACTAAATTATCATTTACTTGTAATTGTAACATTTTAACTGTATACACAGGGGTACGAGACCTCTTCTGTAAATGATGTATTATTAAAAAAAAAACGATATAATAATGAATAGTATTTGTAACAATTGTAACATTATTAATATTAAAATAACATTTTTATTATAAAATTAGAAACAGACAACGTATTAATTTGTAAATGTATTAACACACGTTTACGCCACATTTGATTGCAGAGAAATATTTCGAAAACGAAAACATACTATCTGTATTACATCATTTATTTTTGAAGTTGTTTAAAACGAAAGATCGAATAAACCAAAGGAATATAATCTTTGTGCATATAAAATATCACACATTTTTTTCTGTACGGGTTGAGTTGTACATTGTACCATTCATGATATAATGATGTTCATTATTCATTAAACATTATTAATCTATCTCTAATGTTCTAGCTTTTGAGTTATATTCTTAATGAAATGGTACATTTAGTAGATACAGATATAAGTAGATAATTTTTTACAATCAACTAATATTTTATATTGGTAATTCTATATATGTTACACAATATATAGAATATATATATATATATATATATATATATATATATACATATAAATATAAGTATTACCCTTGGAAAATTGTGTTAAAATCAATTGTTGGTGATAATAAAATTTATTTGCAAATTTGTATATACCGCAACAACATTTACTTTTAAAGAATACAAATTGTGAAAAATTGAATTCAATAGTTTTGTACTCCTTTTTACCTCAAAGAGGAGGGATTAATATTTCTTCTCTTATTGAAATAATTTAAAAACTTAACTATACATTTAAATTTATTATAAATTATAAGCTTGTTGCAAAACTGTTACAGTATTTATCTAATTCGTTTGCGGATTATACCTTTCTCTCGCTTATATTGATATTTTTGTAAATTAAAATCATTTTAGTATTGATGTGATATAAAAATTTTTTAAACGAAAAAAATTAAGTAGTCAATATTTGTGTTTCGCGCTGTCTATCGTTTAATTAATAAGAGCTTCGCGAAGCTTCCGGTTTCCGGTGTGTTGAAAAAAGATGGCGACTCGTGTCGCGCTACACTGCCGGCAGATGTCGCGGCGTGCGCGGCGTCGCCATCGATGACAGCGGCGGCGGCGGCGGCGGCGATCAAAGCCGTGCGGAGTATTCGGGAGGGCGGTCGCGTTACGCTCGGTGCTTTCCTCGTCGCGCGGATCTTCGGAGTCGTATATACGTGTGCGCGCGCGGTCCGCAGCAGCCGGTCGATGTGAAGAGGAGACGCGAAAACGCTGGTGAAGTGGCGCAAGAGCGAAAGATGACGGCGCGGCGTGTGATTTGACAAGTGGAGAAGATATACACGCTCGATGGGAAGAGTGTCCCGTTGAATATCGCGGTGGATGACGGTCTAGCGAACTTAAAGGTATCCGCCGCGCGCGCAACCCTGCATATGCGAGCCCCTCCGGTTAGTGCTCTCTATCTCTCTCTCCCTCTTTCCCTTTCGTCTATCTTTCTCTTTCTCTTTGTCTGCTGCTCCCTTTTTACGACCGCTCGCGCGTTAGGGTAGCGTTCGAACGTAATCGCTCGATAATCGTGCGGATTCAAGGCGCCGCGCGTCATCGAACCACGGCAAACTCGGCCGAAGTGCGGGAAAAAGGGTTCGAGAGATCGATCGCACGCGAAATGTACCACGCCGAGGAGCCAGGCCCGCGCGACGCCGTCTCGACGCTAATGTATTAGATTTATATATATATGTATATATATATATATATATATGCATGTACATTCATGTATATATACTCATATATATATATATATTTTTTTTTTTTAAAGAATACCAGATATATATATGTATATATATATTTTATATACATATGTATGTATATGCGTGCGCGTATGCGTGTGCGTAGAAACGCCAGTGGAATCCCGGTTTAGTAATTGCGGGACGTGTACCATCGTTTTGCGCGTTCTCTAGGTTTTCCTGTTTCCCATCGATGACCAGTCGCGCCTCGCGCAATCCGGTTCGATCCGATCGCCGACGACCCGGAACATTTATAAATGTTTGCCATTAGAGATTTTATTTCGCGGTATCAATCGCAGGGCGGCGTGTTTACTACAAGTATCAATTTTCCGTCGATGCAAAATTGTACCGTGTCTAACCGAAATTACAAACGTGACAATCGTCTCTCTCGATTTTTCAGTTTGATCACCTTAATTTTCCGTCTGTCACGATTCGTTAAAAATTTTCTACGTTAGTGTGATTAAATAATCGTGTTACAAGAGGTATTCCGAGGTAAAATATAATTTTGAACCACCAATTTAATAGTTGTCAGTTCTCCATTAAATGTTTATTTGTAATTTACGTTCTATGAATATATTATCATCATATTCTTGATTCTTTTTATTTTTGGAATTCATCTCTAATTAATATATATATAATGTAAAATTAATTGAATTTCCCTATCTTTCTTTCTTTCTAGATTTATTTCTTTCGTTCATAAACTGTTATTTAAGCATAGAAAAAATAGGAATTAAAAAATGATAAAATCATGTACTAAAACATATGGGCGACCGTTTGGAACGTACCGAATGCGCACCGGAAACGGACGACACGGGGGGGCTTAAACGAAGACGCGCAGGCGAAAGAAAAGGGAAAAGAGAAAAACATGCGCTATTTTGAATTTCGGAAAGTCTGCTAAGATTCGTCCTCGGGCGTTCAAGCCGTAAACGACGGTCGCTTTTATCGCCGCGGCTCGGAGAGGCGCGCAGTGCCTCGAACGGACACGCTCGAATCGATTTTCCCGGTGGTTCTACCGTCGACCGTGCGGGCTTACCGCTCGCGTTGCGTTTTCTCGCGAGGGTTCCCGCGGCTCCTCTTGTAAATTACATTGTTCCACTATATCGCCCCGACGCGAACGTGACGACGCGCGGTACCGTGTTACGCGACGATATGACATTAGGACCCTTCATTCGTCCTTTAGCCCTCAACAGACAGCCCGCGATCTTGTGATCCGCGTTCCCGCCCAAAAGCTCGGAAAGCCCGATTTTTGCTTTTACGATTGTTCTGTCAGACGATGATTATTCGAACGCGGCTCACTTGTGAGAAAGGAAGAATCGTGACGTTATACAGTGTTCTGAATAAAGGTGCATCCCAAACAACACGAATGTCCCAATAATGTGGTCGAGGACGTCTGAAAGACGCTCCTCATCTCTGAGCTGTAACTTCGGATCTTTATGTTGTTTGGTGATGTTAGCGGTAAGATTGCACTTCGGGCGAGGCTCCGCTTGCCTTCCTCCACCTCGGCAAATAGCGAACGGGATGATGGTGCTCACAATGCGCTTGTGAACCGTTTCGTCATGTACGGTTATACCACCCGTATCGTTTCGTGGAGACTAAAAATAGCGTTCCTCGAAGAACAACCAAAGTAATTTGGTCCGATGGAATTCCGTAACACTGCATGCTCGATATTTTATTTTATCGTCCACGGGAATTTTTTAACAGTGAGAGACATTCGCGAAAGCGCGACGAATCGAGTCCATAATTTCAGATCTACTTCAAACATGAGATTGCGTTTAAAGTAAGCCCTGTAGGGCAACTTATCTTAATTCGAAACATTGCGAAACTCGAGCTTTCCGCTAATAACCATTGTGCGCCATTCTCGCCAATAAAAATCAAATTTCATTTATCAATAACCTAGTCCTTCCGCGTCCTTTCGGTGGGGGAAACAAAAACTCCACGTCGAGGGGTTGAAATAAATTACACGTTATCGGTTAAGCGTCATCCGTCACAGTCTGCGCTTTGATTCACACGTCTCTGATCGGTTCTCGATCGGCCGCACAGATATCGGGATTCCCAGCCGTGGACCGAAGTTGAGAATTAACGAGCGGAAGTACAAGCGGAACGGAGGCGGTGAGGACGACGGCGGCGGTGGCGGTGGCGGCGGTGGCGAGGGTGAAGAGGAAGTGTGAGACAACGAGAGGGTGAATCGACAGAGCGGCCGAAGGATGACAGGCGAGGAGGGAAAGCGCGGTGGCGGCGCCGGCAACGTTACTACCGGAGCGAACATGAACAGAAACGTCACCGACAACGCCAATAACGTTAACGCCAATGTTAACGCCAACATAAACGTCAACCAGCAGAACGGCGGATCGGAAAAGGCCCCCGTGGTCGGCGGTACCAACGTGGAGACGCTGCCACGCGCCGGAAAACAGGTAAGATTGATGAGTTTTTTGTTGATGGGAAGCACGGAGGAGCGATGTGGATATGATACGCTTAGAAACTGGTGTCATTTGAAATTTGAACAAACCTGATTTGATGACTTTCCTTTCTTATCTACGATGTAAATATGAAAGAAATTTAATTGACGTTTAAAAACTACAATTGTAGTAGTTAATTTGTTTTCTCGTCGAGTTTTCTAATACATTTCTTTTTTCACGATTGCGAATTACAATTTATTTTATCTAAACGCGGGTAATGATAATAACAGATAAACATAATAATCTGAAAGAAATTCTTTAGAATTTATATTTACTGTTGAAAATTATCGCTTAAACTTTGTGAGGCAATAGTAAGAAAGTTGTTTAAATTCACATCATTCTCAGTGCTTCAATTTGACATCAGGGAATATGTCTCTTTTGATACCGGATATTTGTCTAGTAATTTCATACTAATTTATACGTTGCAAAAAACTGTTGTTTTTTGCAATTCGACGTTCCTAACATGCATATTAAAAACATAGAGAATTTTGATCGCAAAATCGAAGAAATGATATTTTATTAATGATATAATGGAAATATTTTTTTTTCCATATATATCACGGTATTGTACTGATCAAAACGTAATTATATATGTAGGAATCAATCAATATTATCATGTTTTAAAAATTTGCTGTGTCACGTAATACTCAGACTTATTAAGGTACTGCATGGTGTGCGCATTAGTTTGTCACGACATACGTATTTTTGGCCACGAGACGAGGGAAGTGGATGGCATTATCGCAAATAATAGGCTTCGTATATACATGGTATCTAATAGCATATACGGGCTCGCATTCAACCGTTTCGCCGCATGTCAGCTCGCAGTTTCGATTGCGTGCGTAAAGTGCGAGAGAGGGGTTCGGTACAACTGTACTCTCCCATTTGACACTCTCTTCTTACGCGTCACGTTAGTTTCTTTGGCAAAAAAAAAACTTTCTGCATGAACGAATTTTTATTTCTCTTTTTGCTTGTAACTTCACTTTTCTTCGGAAATCCGAAGCGTTTGCGGGTGTGTGTAATGAGCTAATTACATCGCGATAAAAACAAGTTAATGCTAAAAAATCTACAGCTCTAAATATATTTTGTTGAATGTTTCGTAATTTGAACTAGACAGGGCGATGCTGTTTGTAAAGGTTCTCATTTGAACGCACGGCTCTTGCGGAGTTCTATTTGTTAGACATCTGAGAAGTCGTCAACAGTATGACCGCCTTTGTCGCAGATCGTCACGTCGACCGCGTTAGCATGCAAAACGATCATTAAGACGAAGCGGCCGGCCGATTGTTGCGGCTCAAAGGTCATGGTTACTCCCGGACGTAGGCTGCTGCGAAGGTATAGCGGCGCACTACTAGGTAGGGGAACGCACGTGCCCGTGTGTTCACGGTACCGAAGATCCTGAACGCGTTCCTCTCCGGAAAAGAGAAAAAAGTCCCATATCGAGTGGGCGCGCGCGATTTCACGGGGCACAGGAAGGTCGATAGGTAGAGAATATCAGACTATTTCGTTAATTGCAGTTTCTTCTAAACTATTCGTGTTTCTTATTACGTAAAGTATTAAAGCATTAGGTGCCTTGAATTTGAAACATATAAGGAAGTAGTAAGTTCAAGTACTTTGTTTTGTTCTTAAACGAGAGAGCCGGCAGCAAGTCGGTAAGACGGTAGAATTTGGACGAGGTAAGCTTCTTATCTGGAGGATGAGGCTTGAGAAACCGGTTGTGACACAGACCGGAATAGAGTTAGAAAATGATTTCATTTTTAATCCGTGTCTTTACTAATTTCTTATGCTAGCCCCAAGTGAAAAATTTACCTTTACTGATTCCTTTCGTAGAAAATCTTCTCTACCTCATGTCCACATTTTTAAATATCTACGTTTATTATTTAAATGCATTTTGCCTGTATCTTACTTAGGTTATTAAAAATAAATATTTCCCGTATCGCTGTCTTCATCCCACATCGATCGGAATGATCTCATTTGTGCATTTTTACAATTTTGAGAAAGTTTTAGTTGTGTTCAAGGTTGCGATATTTTCTACCACACGTGTTCGAACGTAGCGTGTGCATAAGTCACTATAATCGATTTCTAATAACGATGAATTTATATAGCCGCGTATTTTTCAGCAGCGTGGGTGGAATTAGCTGATAAAAACAGAAATCCACGATACTTTCAAGTGTATATATGTATATATAGTCGTCGCTGTGCTGTGACAGAAATCAAGTCGAGGCTCTTACGTTAATTAGTGAATACTTCTCTACTGAAACAGCCGTTGCTTTATTCTCTAAAAATGTGTCGCTCGTAACGAGCGATGTTTTCCACCAAGCGTAACTCGGTGACGAGTTATTTCATTCCGCCTAATGTCATGATGTCATACGCTATGAACGTCGCTGACTCTTCAATTTTAACAAACGTATCATCATCGCTTTTGCCGAATCTCATATAGATCAATCCGTGAAATAGATTGTTACACGTGGAAATATAATCAGAATGAAGGTTTAAGACTATCGTATACAGGGTGAGACATCTAATACAGTACGATGGGCGATCGGAAAGTCAATGACGTGAGGAAGCGATATTTTCTTATAATAAAAACATTAAATTATTAATTTTTTTTTCTAATAAAAATATACATGTTATATAATTATTATAAAAATAATATTGTGGAACGAACTTGCTTCATAACAGAATGAAATTTCGTGTGCAATTTATCGCCGTGTCTGCGACGCGATATTAAGATGCATAGCTTGCAGAACGATAAATAATATGTATAACCGGTCGCATGCGGTGTCGCGCTTATCGAGATTCCGCGAAGTCTTCAACGGCAGTCCGTCGTACCTACTACACGAGGATTCCATTGACTCGCGTTACGATCCGCTGTCCGGCATGCGCCAACGTTTAGCCGCTCTCTATGTACACATTCTGGATTCTGAGATTACGTCATAATTTCACCGTGGACCTTCGCCAACGAGCCTTGAACAATGTCTCGAGGCCACGGCTAACCAATCCCGAAGAGAGATCCCGAGAGCGCGTACCTATATTTCTCCGTCGCTCGCGCACGTAGATAAAAATACGTTTCCGTCGAATTACGTTCGCAGTTGAGTCATGTTGTTAGATAGCGAATTGATTAATTGACCGAGGCGCAATGACTGGTACAGTTAAAAGATTGGTGGCCGCGAGATTGCGTGTCCTATTGCCTATGTAAATCAAGGCTACCGCGGTTTATCGCAAATATCTCTCGTCTGTGAAGTGATTGTATAAGTGATCTCAAAATTCTAGAGTATCAGATCTATGTTACAAGCGAACGGAGGAGAAAGGTCTCTTCGTGAGCTACATTTTAGATAATTAAACAACATACACTCTTTTAGCTGTTTCACTTATTTTTTGTTTTTAAGTTTAGAGTTTTTAACTAAGGTTTTCTTGCGCGCCAGAGAATCCATCATTGAAATTGAGAGAACTGCGGGGCACTCATTGCGGGGGGGGGGGGGG